TAGGGTTTAGGGTTTAGGGTTTAGGGTTTCCGAGCAGAACCATCCTATCCCCCCCTCACCAGGGTGTAGGGGGGGATGGATGGGTGCGTTGAGTCCCGCCCCATCCGCCCAGAGTCATTGCTTTTAGGGTTTAGGGTGGTCTACCCCCCTCGCTCCCCCCTAGCAAGGGGGGAAGTGTGCAGGCGTCGGCAAGAGTGAGTGGCCGCGTACCAGGGATGAATGAGAAGAGTCGTCCTTCGCGAAAGTTACGCGTGCGACCTAGGCCCGCGCGGGCGAAGAGTCGCACGCGTAGCCTTGAGAGAGCCCGCGGCCGAAGCAGCACCCAAGGGAGCTCGAAACAGACACGCTTGAGAGAGCCCGCGGCCGAAACAGCATTCAAGGGAGCTCGAAACAGACACCCTTGAGAGAGTCTGCGGCCAAAGGAGCACCCAAGGGACACAAACCAAGCCCACAGGAGAACGCAGACCGGCGCCACAGTCGCCCACCGAGCCAGCCCGAGCTCGGAGTTTCGCCCAAGTTCGGAGCCCGAGCCGGAATCAGAGCCCGAGCCGGCACCGCGCCGGAGCCCGGGGGAATGTGAATCCGGTATATCGGTAATTTTCCTTGGTTTAGCTCTCCCAGAGAGGTCTGCGCACGCTCTTGAGGATATGTTTTGTTCACTACCCTGGGAACGATCCTCTGGGAGCTCCTTCACGCCAAGAGCTCTGGAGGGGAGCTCTGGGGGGAGCTCTGGGGGAGAGCTCTGGAGGGAGAGCTCTGGGGGAGAGCTCTGGGGGAGAGCTCTGGGGGAGAGCTCTGGGGGAGAGCTCCGGGGGAGAGCTCTGGGGGAGAGCTCTGGGGGAGAGCTCTGGGGGAGAGCTCTGGGGGAGAGCTCTGGGGGAGAGCTCTGGGAGAGCTCTGGGGGAGAGCTCTGGGGGAGAGCTCTGGGAGAGAGCTCTGGGGGAGAGGGGGAGAGCTCTGGGGGAGAGCTCTGGGGGAGAGCTCTGGGGGAGAGCTCTGGGGGAGAGCTCTGGGGGAGAGCTCTGGGGAGAGCTCTGGGTGAGAGCTCTGGGGGAGAGCTCCGGGGGAGAGCTCTGGGGGAGAGCTCTGGGGGAGAGCTCTGGGGGAGAGCTCTGGGAGGGAGCTCTGGGGGAGAGCTCTGGGGGAGAGCTCTGGGGGAGAGCTCTGGGGGAGAGCTCTGGGGGGAGCTCTGGGGGAGAGCTCTGGGGGGAAGGGGGTCTCGTTGTGGGAGCCCACAAGGAGCCTGGGGGAGCTCGTTATGGGAGCCCACAAGGAGCCAAGGAGCCCGGGGGAGCTCGTTGTGGGTACCCCCCAGAATCCTCCGTGATGCCGGCATCAGGGAGGATTTTGGCCGGCGGACGCACAGAACCTTTGGACCATTGGATTTACGCCTTCGGCAATAAAACCTGCCCCAGCGCGCTCTTCCAGAGAAACCAAGCGTTCTGGGGTCAGTTTTAAGCAAATCCGGAGGTTTTTAAGCGCCGATACAAGTGCTTGGATATCAGAGAGGCTGCATGCGAGCGCGACAAGGGGGACCAGCGCGGCGGCGGGCAAACCCAAGCGCTAATTTTACGATTTCGGCTATCTAAGCGCCGCAGCGCGCTTCCGTAGCGAAGCCAAGCGTCCTGGGGCAGTTTCTAAGGAAATCCAATGGTTTTTAAGGGAAAGCCTAAACCCGCGGCCCAATACCCTAAACTCACCAGGGCCGGCCGCGATTTGGGAGCATCCGGCCCCGGGTTAGGGGTTATGTGTTTCTGAGCGAGACACAGCCTCAGGCCGGCAGGCCGATTGTGGCGGTGAGCTCGACTGGCAGCTCGCTCTCACTAGCAGATCCTTACAGGCGTGGCGATGCGCGCCCCCAGGGCCGCGCCTGCAGTTTAGGGTTTAGGGTTTAGGATACGAAAGGGCTAGAAGGCGCACGTCAATCGTTTTCCGTCGGGTTTGGACGGGTTTTGGCCTCTCGGGGGGCCTGGGGCCGTCTGGGAGCGGCCTCGGGGCCCCCTGGAGGCATACCGGAAGCCATCGCGACCCATCCTGTGCTATTCGTGAGCCATCCTGGGGGCCACTGTGGACCAACGAGAACCACACCCATCGGTCGTTGAAAGTGGGTACTTTTGGATTCCCAGATTCCAATCTACTTTCAGCGCCTTCCTACTTCAAGAGTCGGGTGGTTTTCCTTCTTCCTTCCTCTTCGGGAGGCGGGCGGAAACCCAATCTATTTCCAACGCCTTCCTACTTCATGTTTCTACCTACTTCTTCCGTCCGATGGGTACCTGGAGCCATCGAGGTGCCGCAATCTTTCGAACACCTGGGACCGCGGGTCTGCGCGGAGCCCCGCCGCTGAAACCGCGCGCTCGGTTCGGGTCCTCCGCCGCGGCCGCGGCGCCACCGCAGCTGCCTCAGGCCGCTGACGCTGGGCTGAAAAATCCCCGGCGAGTCGGAGGTTTCGCGGCGATTGGGTCCCCCTCCTCCTCCTCCTCCTCCTCCTCCTCCTCCTCCTCCTCCTCCTCCTCCTCCTCCTCCTCCTCCTCCTCCTCCTCTCTTCCCCCTCCTCCTCCTCCTCCTCCTCCTCCTCCTCCTCCTCCTCCTCCTCCTCCTCCTCCTCCTCCTCCTCCCCTCCTCCTCCCCTCCTCCTCCTCTCTTCCCCCTCCTCCTCCTCCTCCTCCTCCTCCTCCTCCTCCTCCTCCTCCTCCTCCTAGGTGTTCAGTGAATTCGGCTTTGATCGAGGGGTGGGGGTCCCGGATCGGCCTCGCCCTTCTCGCGCCCGAGAAAAAAGCCCTTCCTTGGGGCCCCCGTGGGGCGCGCACCGGGCGCCCCACGAGGGCCGCCCCGAGGCCCTCTTTGTGGGCCCCGCTGGGGGGCACTCTCGGGGGCTGAAGATCTCGGGAGGAAAAGAACACACACACAGACACAAGTGATCCTCGACTCCCGAGAAAATATGGGAAACTATGGGAAGTGGGGGGAAGACAGAAACCCCGACAATATGGGAACATATAGGGAATAGTTTTATTTGTGTGTATTTATTTGTGTGTCCTGGGGCCCCTTCAAAATCATCCTCAGGCCCTAGAAGCCCATCGGAAGCCACACGACGAAAAGACGCATCTTAATACTTTCCCTCAGCTTGTTGGAAGGATCTCGGCATTTCGGGGTATCCTTAGAAAGGTCCGTAGTGACGGGGAGCCGTCTGGGGAGAGGTCTTGTGGTCCTCTCGGAGGCACGCCTGATGCTATCTTGCACAAGCTTGTGCTATCTTGTGCCAACTTGGAGGCTATCGTGGCCTATCAAAAACCTTCCTGGAACCAGATTGGGCTATCTAACAGGTATCCCCCTTTCTGGACCCAGGAGAGAAGACGGGGGGAGGGATCAAGCTCCCAACGGAAGCTCCACAAGGTTTCTCGCTCACTCTCACCCGCCCTCCCACCTCATAAGTAACACTCTAGGCAGAGGTCGCTATCGGATGGACATCCATTGGGAACCAACACAGACGCCAAGTGTGCGACGCTTGCGAGGTGTGCTGCGCGCGCACCAGGTGTGTCAGATACGCCAGGGGCGCAAGTGTGCCTTGCGCGCCAGATGCGCTACGCGCTTTCTTTCAAGCATGCGCGGTTTGCTTCTGGCCGCAGCGTGCCCGTTTACGCTGGGGCCCTGGCACTGCAACGTGAGGCGGCTTGTGGAACGTTGATTATTGGGTGCGCGTCTCCCTCCCGTCCCCTTGACTCCCCACCTCAGAAGATGCGCCGGAGAACCGTACAGCCATTCTGGCTCAAGTAATTTCTGTCGGATTTAGCCAGGACCCTGGGTAAGGGGAGCTGGTTAGTGATTGGGCCCCGAAGCCCCCCAAGTTGGCCAGAATCGCTAAACCAGGTTCGTCGTAGCTGTTGTTTTTCGGGTGACGGCCGTTCCGGTTAGTGGGATTGGGCGGAGGGGGGTGTCCCCCCGGTACACATCAGTCAACCAGGTCCCACCACACCCAGTCCTGCCAACGCCCGAGCCTGGCCCCAGTACATCTGCGCCCAACGCGCTTCGAGATCCACGCCTGGTTGGGGTACCTTCTCCAAGATGGTCCTCGAGGCGTTCGCAGCTCCTCCTCCTCCTCCTCCTCCTCCCCCTCCTCCTCCTCCTCCTCCTCCTCCACCTCCTCCTCCTCCTCCTCCTCCTCCTCCTCCTCCTCCTCCTCCTCCTCCTCCTCCTCCTCCTCCTCCTCCTCCCCCAAGATGCTCCTCTCGCTCGCCTCGCTCGTGGTGTTCCCTGGGGCCCCCCTGCACCGCCACCGGTCTGCCTTCCAGTGCGTGCCCGCGCCCCGGGGGGGAGAGCGCCTCGCGGCGGCACTGGGGACACCGGTGGGGCGCCCGCCTCCCGCCCGCGGGCAGCACGCTCACGTTCCTCCTCCTCCTCCTCCTCCCCCTCCTCCTCCTCCTCCTCCCCCTCCTCCTCCTCCTCCTCCTCCTCCTCCTCCCCCTCCTCCCCTCCTCCTCCTCCTCCTCCTCCTCCTCCTCCTCCTCCAAGATGCTCGTCTCGCTCGTCTCGCTCCCGCCTCCCGCCCGCTGGCAGCACGCTCACGTTCGCACGTCGCCGAGCGCGCTCCACTGCTTGCAGAGTGCCTACTCTCGCAAGCGTCCGAAACACACATGTCTGCCTCGATGTACTTTCTTTCGTAGGTCCCTCGCGGCGGATCCAGGCCACTCGCAAGCAGTTACTCTGCGAGTCGTGGAACGCGCTCGTCTAGTACAGGGAGGAACCTTCTGGACGTTTCGGCCAGACGCAGATCGGTGCCGGTCGCACACATCGACAAAGCGACCTCGTGGCCCACACCCGCAGGCAGGAGCGGCCAGGTCTGGAGGGCCTCGCCCTCTGCCACAGGACCCCTCTCTTTCTGATTGCTCTTCTCCGTCTCCCTCCCCCCGCTCCTCTCGACCTCCTCCCGGGTCGTCGTCGTCCTGCTGCTGCTGCAACTGCTGTTGCCGCCTTGGACGCCGTGGCGCCTTCGGTGACGTCGGCAGGCCATGAACCAGACCTTCGTCTACTACCAGGTGGACGGCGTGACCGGCAAGTGGATCAACGCCCGCGCCCGCCCGCACCCGCTCGTGCTCTCCCCCTTTCTCTCTCCGGCAACGCGCAGATGGGGGTGGGGGGAGGGGGTGGGCTTCTTAGAAGCACCCCTGCTTCTGAGGAGGCGCGGGCCTTCTCTATAGACGTAAGGCCGGGGCCTTCTAAGAAGCAGGGTGCTTCTAAGAAGCCTTCCCCCCTCCCCCTACCCTCTTTGGCGCGCCGCCAATCTCTCCCCCTCCCTCCTCCTCCGCAGCATGCGGGGAGGGACTGCTCTCGCAGTGCTCCCAGGGTCCCCGATCCTCCACCCGCCGCCGAGCACCCCGCCGCCCGACGATGCGGCGGGAGAAGCTGGCTGGCGATGGCGACCACGCCGACGACGGCAATGACGGCGGCAACCACGACGACGACGGCAGTGTCGACGGCTACTAGGCAACGACGAAGACCAAAGGCGGCGACGACGGCCGCGCCGGACGGCGATGGCGACGACGCTGTGTGGCAGCGGTGCGGACAGCGGCGCGATGGCGACGCCCAGATTTCTGTCGTCCTCATCTGTCCACGACGGGCTCCCAGAAGTCCCGGCCCACTTCCACCTCCCTGGGACCGGCTTTTTTCATACAGGATGGTCTTTTGACGGCCTTGAGGCCAAGAAGCTGTGCCTGGATGCAGAAAATGACGACTGCATGCTGCCGAGATCACTGTTTGTGCCTCGGGATCCTGAGACCCTACAGAAAACTCACGACCAGAGCCCTTGACCGAGTCGGCACTTCTCACGGCGTTTCTCAAGTCGGACCGATCTGTTATCTCACTGCCCGACGCTGCGCGAGAACGCCCGGTGTAAAAAGTGCGACGCCCAGATCTCCGACGACGTCCCAGGGGCAATGTCAGCGTGGGATAGGCTCAGGGGGGGATGCATCGACGACCGATCGCCCATTCATCGCCGATGGGGGCCCGATAGCCCACCCCGCCCAGGCGCGTGCGGGTCCGCTTGCGGGGGCCTGCCGCCGATTCCAGGCCGATGCTCCCCTCCGGAGCTGGTCCCCCTGTGACGTTCCCTTTCAATGTATGGACCATCCTCCTCCTCCTCCTCCTCCTCCTCCTCCTCCCTCCTCCTCCTCCTCCTCCGAAGCCTCGCCGCCGTGGGCAGCCTGTGGGGAAGGACTCTTCTCCTTGTACGCCCTGACCGTCGATCCTCGACCCCAACCTTGGCGTCCGCAGACATGCCGCCACCCCCCTCACTCTGGCACACCCCTCGCAAGCTTCGTGGCACCATGGGGAGCTACACCCCTCACGCGTTCCGTGGCCCCAAAGCGTGCTACTCCTGAGGCCTCAGTGGCTGCGTTTGCATGCCGCCACCTCCTTCACTTCGGCACACCCCTCACACGTTTCGTGGTTCCATAGGGAGCTCCACTGAAGGCCCCATTGACTGCGTTCGCATGCAGCCATCCCCCTCCCTTTGGCACACCCCCTCACACGTTTCGTGTCCCCATGGGGAGCTCCACCGAAGACCCCAGTGGCTGCGCCCGCATGCACCCTCCCCTCTCTTTGGCACACACTTCTCATGCTTCGTGGCCCCATCGGGAGCTCCACAGAATGCGGTTCTTGCAGCGACTTGTCTCGCAGCAGCATATGCTGGGGTCCTTTGCCAGAATACTTCCTTCAGGACGGGCTCCCAGAAGTCCGGGCACCCTTCCCTTCTCGGGGACCAGATTTTCATCCGGGAAGCCCGAACGCCCCGCCGCCCGGGAGAAGCCGGCCAGCGACGGCGACCACGACGACGGCAACAGCTGCGACGACGACGACGACGACGGCCGCGTCGGACTGAGACGGCGACAGCCGGGGGGCAACGACGCGGACAGCGGCGCGACGGCGACGCCCAGATCTCTGTCGTCCTCATTTTTCCAAGATGGTCTCTCAGAAGTCCGCCTCGAGACCTCGACCCCCCGATCCTCCATGTCTTAGGGTAGCAACTCATGGGAGCCTTTCATGTCTTCGAAATTCCGTCCTCAGGGTGCATTGGTGTTCGTTGGCGTCTGGTGATCGATGAGGAAGCGCTGATTCAGCGCCGATCAGCGTCGTGTGAGCGCCGATCAGCGCCGATCAGCGTATATCAGCGTCGGCCAGCGCCGATTCCGCAAGAGCCAGCAAAGTGGCATGGGCCGACGGCAATGTCTGGGCCGACGGCCCCGCCGCCCGCGCACGCGGCGGGAGAGAGCCCGCCCGCGGCGGCGACCACGACGACCACCGCAGTGGCGGCGCTCCCCCGTGTGCTCTCCGAGGGCTCCTCGTTGTGCGCCCCGATCCCCCGATCCTTCACCCCCTCCTCCTCCTCCTCCTCCTCCTCCTCCACCTCCTCCTCCTCCTCCTCCTTTTCCTCCTCCTCCTCCTTTTCCTCCTCCTCCTCCTCCTCCGCCCGCAGATGCGGTGGGAGAAGCCCTCTGGCGGCGTGCTGGCGCTGACCGACGGCGCGGCCTCTTCCGTCGCCCAGCCGGCGCCGGCCGAGGGCTCGGCCCCGAGCGGCGGCGGCGGCAGCGGGCGCTTTCGTGTCGCCGTGGTTCTTCCTCTCTGCTCCTCCTCCTCCTCCTCCTCCTCCTCCTCCTCCTCCTCCTCCTCCTCCTCCTCCTCCTCCTCTGTCTCCTGTCTCCTGTCTCCTCCTCCTCCTCCTCCATTCCTCTCACCCTGCAAGTATCTCCTCCCTGCTCACCCCCAGACGTGTCGGTAGTGCGGGCTGGGCGTTTCGCTTGAGATTTCCTCAGTACTCGTGATTCTGAAACTCGAGATTTGCAATTGTTTCGCGGATGTACTCGGGTCGTTTTCAAAACGTGGTTCTTGCCTTAGCGCTGCGCACATCTGTCGTACAGTTTCAAGGATTCGCATGGTTGAAGTCCCAGGAATGGTGTTGTGGCACGCTTTCTGTACTGCCAGGACGCAACAGTTACGTTGATCCGCGGCGTTGAAGTTCCAGGAATGGTGTTCTGGTATGATTGGGGATTCTCCGACGATCGTCTTCTAATGGACCACTTCAGCAGTGAAAACGATGTCTTGTAGGAGCTGTGGAGATGGAACTTGGAGGGAGGGTTTATTGAAACATCGTTGATGTGCGTTGGGTTTACACTCGTCCTCCTCCTCCTCCTCTGTCCCCTGTCCTCTCTCCTCTCTCATCTATCCTCTCTCCATCCACTTTCCTCCTCCTCCTCCTCCTCCTCCTCCTCCTCCTCCTCCCCTCTTCTCTTATTCCTGTCTCCCTCTTCCCTCTTCATCCTCGTCCTCCTCGTCCTCCTCCTCCTTCTCCTCCTCCTCCTCCTTTCTCCTCTCTCCTCTCTCCTCCATCTTCATCCTCTTCCCTCCTACTCCTCCTTCCCCCATCCTATTCCTCTCTCCCTCTTCATTCTCGTCCTCCTTGTCCTCCTCCTCGTCTTCCTCCTCCTCGTCCTCTCCCCTTCTCTCCTCCTCTTCCTCTTTTCCATCTTCTACAGTTACACATGATGAATACGTACTACTCTCCTGCTTCCCCTGGTTATGTCCGGAAGCTATTCGGCTGTTATTTAGCGTGCTGTTTCTTAAATCAGGATCTCAAGCATGTTTTTTCACAGTCCGATTGTTGTGGGTGTTTCTAAATGGTGTTCCCGCTGCAGCGTGGGTCTCATGTTCGGATTGGTGCTTCGCTCCCGTCCCAGCGCGGGCCACTTCTCTGGACCCGACTCATTTTACATCGGTGTCGCCCCCCTCATTTCCCTTCCTCAGCCTTCCCCTGATCCTCCTGCTCCCCCCATTCCTTCCACTCCAGTTCCTGCTGTTGCTGTTCGTCCTCGTGCTCCTCCTCTGTCTTCCTCCTCCTCTTCATCCTCCTGCTCACCCGCCACCTCCTATGTAGGCAGTTCACCATCTCCCATTGCGCATAACACGACAGGGCATGTCTGTTGGAGTTCCATGTAGGCTATGACGCGCGTCCGCGGATAGAGGAACAAACAGCGGCGCAATGGGAAGGGATGGGAGGGAGCAATAGGATGTCAGATATGGCGCGGGCGCACCTGGCTTTCCTCTTTTCCCTTCTGTCCCCTCTGCATGGCGTGCAGGGCGTGTGCGAAGGTGCTCTCGCGTCGCTCTGATTCCTCTTCCACCTCTTTCCTCCTCGTTCCTCCTCCTCCCTCCTCCTCCCTCCTCCTCCTCCTCCTCCTCCTCCTCCTCTCTCCTCCTCCTCCTCCTCCTCCTCCTCCTCCTCCCTCCTCCTCCTCCATCCCCCTCCTCCTCCTCTTCCTCCTCTCTCCTGGCCGCTCCAAGACTGCCGCCCTGTCCCCTGGCCCTCGTCCTCGTCCTCCTCCTCCTCCTCCTCGTCCTCTCCCCCTCTCTCCTCCTCCTCCTCCTCCTCCTCCTCCTCCTTCTCCTCCTCCTCCTCCTCCTCCTCCTCCATCTTCCACAGTTACACATGATGAATCCTTACACGGCAGACGAAAACATCAACGCCCAAAAACGGATACACTATATTCCATGGCGGCAGCTGACTCCACGGGCGCTTGCAACACGCCGCACTTACCTCCCAACTATTGCAGCACAAGCAATCGCCACGCACCACGACTCAGCAAGGCGTGGGTAACAGCAGATCCACACCTTCAACCGACGCATCATCTTCCTTAATAATGTTGGTGGACCCAGGTTCCAGGACTGCATCGCCAGACTCCGCGCGCATCAGGCCCGCTACGAGACCTACCTCAACAGGCTTACGCACTTACACGTTTGGAACACCCTTCAGGGAGCCTCCACTCAAACAGTTGGTAACGCTACACAAGGCTTCACCCAAACCCAAACCGACGCCCACCAGCATGGACCAGCCTACGTAAACGAGATGGCGACCAACGCGTCGCAACAACCAGTACAGGGCAGCATGCCACGCATGATGCTGCGACGTTCACGGCCAGTGCCTCCTCCTGATCAATGGCAGCAGATGGGCCACGTCTGATCTCAATCGAGGACAGGCGCGTTTATTTGCAGTCTGCTCCACACTGTGCTCCCTGCTGCTATGCTATGTACTCTCCCCTCTCGGGGCCCGTGTCTTCTTGCTCTGCAGTGCTCGATTTTTTTCTTCTTCTTCTTCTTCTTCTTCTTCTTCTTCTTCTCTCTCTATATACTCTCTATACATACACAAACAGGTTCGGGGCCACCCTAGAGACCCTGGGTATCAGCCCAAATATTGCGAGCGCCTTTCATTACTTGGCTCCCACAGGAGTGGGCCCCACAGGCAGTTATCTGACCTCCACGGTGGAAAAGGCGGTCACCTACATTGCCGACTTGGAGGTGCACCTTAGGTGCGTTCTCCTTTGGCCTCCCCTGCTCGGGGTTCTCACACTTTTGACCTGCTCCACAGACCTCTTGCCTCGCTGTCTCTATTTGCCCTCGCCCGCGCGGCCCCCCGTTGCGCTGGTGGAGGCGTGTGTGTGTGTGTGTGCGTGTGTGGTGGGGATGGGGTGTGGGGGGTGGTGCCTCGGTGTGGCGGTGGAGGAGGCGAAGTTAATTCTTTCAATGTTAGGGGCCAATCACAAAACAACCCAGCAGCATTAACGCTTGGGTCCCTGCAAAGCTGGACCACACACAGCTGACGGCCTTGCTCAGCTAGCTGACTTTGAGGGACACCTAAGGTGCATCCTCCTTTAATGCCATAACCCAAGAGCTCACTCTTCAATGCCACGGGCATGTGGCACTCAGGTACTCAGAGACGTACCCACGTTTTTTTCTAGCAGCCTCTCTCTCTCTCTCTCTCTCTCTTCCGTCACTGTGCAGCTTGGCGCTCTCTGTCTGTAGCTCCCGTTTCCAGCGCCCTGGTGGCGCCTCTCTCCAGTTTAGGTTCGGAGTGATCCTACACCACCCCGAATCAATAAGCATCAGTGCCCAATCACGACAGGGCACGCTTTTTACAATAGTCCAGCCTTAAATGCCAGCCTGCGATATCCATCGCAAGGCAACTCTCGCTGGACAACATGGTTTCGTGCTGAACCCGAGAGGAACTATGCGAAAAACACGAGGGTCCCAGTGCCGAGGTTCGGGGTAAACCTCAAAACCCTGGGCGGCAATCCCAGAACTGCCACGCTCGACGGCTATTTTTTCAGCGCTGCATTGCAGACCACGCTACCCACCCCACACCTTCCTTCTTACACCTTCATCTCCTGACTCCTCTCGCTCTACGTAGGTTCGGGGATATCCTACAAAGCCCTGGGTCACCGTCCAAAATTTGCACGCTCGCTTTTCTCACAGTACGCACCCAGTGGCACTACTGTCGGGAGGTGGGGTGGTGAGCATGCTGTCGGGAGGTGGGGTGGTGGGCTTGATGGCGGTAGTGGTCACATCGAGTGAACTCATGCGCCACCAGCTTTTTTAGGTGCCACACCTTCTACGTGAGCAATCTGCCCACATGTAAGGAGATCTAGCACCATTCATTTCAGCATCACGGCGTCGTGCACGGCATTAAAAAAAACTGTTTCTTTCCATCCGAGGTGGCACTTCCTATAGGATTGAGTTTTTTTTTTTTGAAACTTATGAGGGTATTTGGTTACGTGCCAACCTCGAGGACCTGGCAGGCGCCGGCTCGTTTCTATTTCTCTCGGCCTGAGCTTTACTTATCTCATTTTCCGCGGCGCCCGCGGGGTGAATCCTGACCCGAGTCGTACTATACGGTTGTTTCTCAAAAAGAAGGCCACAGGGAAGCCTTAGGTCGGCCTAACTTCAAAGGGAAGACTTGCTGACTAAGCGGAATGAGTATAAAGAGGGGTAGGAGGAGGCGAGGAGGGGGATGAGGAGGATGAGGACGAGGCGGAACCATGGAAGATGAGGATGAGGAGGACAAGGAGGAGGAGGAGGAGTAGGAGGAGGAGGAGGGGTATGCGGAGGATGAACGGTAAGGAGGGTAATGCGGGGGGGGAGCGGGAGGGGAATGACAGGAGGATGGGGATGATGATGGGGAGGAGGATGAGGTGGAGGAGGAGGAGGAGGAGGAGGAGGAGGAAGGGAAGCAAGCCGGTAACAAAGAACAACTTCAGGATGAGGATGATGAGGATGTGCGCGGAGGATCACGTACCGAGGGGGGAGACAAGACGAATGTGCGCGGCATTGAGGCGAGAGCCACACTTTGAAAGAGGGCGCGCCCTCTATCCGTGTAGCTGTTGCAACTTATCAGCCTCAGGAGTATGATCGGTAAAGAACTCGCAGGCGAATCGCCCGACCCGCCCTGCCGACACGTCTCGGGATGCGACAGGGAGTAGTTGATTGTAAGGAGAAGGAGTGGAGAAGGAGGGTGAGGATGGTGGATCCTCGATGCTCGAATGACGTCGCGCCTTTGGTTTCAGCCAGGCGAGACTCGCGATGGGCTGGCAGGCAGCGCTACCCTTGTGTGATCGACACCTTGGGGGCGCGTCCTCATCACTGCGAACATCAGCAGCCCGAACTTGAGCACCACCAGGATGAGGATAAGCTTCTCGGATGGTTTTGGTAGTTTTGAGCTTCCATGTGTGTCCGAAGGCGTCTGGGAGCTTCCTGAGACCTCTGATGGCGTCTGGGGGGCTTCACACCCCTTCCTAGAGACGTCTGGGGAGGGGGGCGGGAAGGATGATGATAGCGACGATGATGATGATGATCAGGATCATGATGATGCTGCTGATGATGATGATGCGGATGCTGCTGGTGATGACGTTGCTGATGATGGTGGTGATGATGCTGATGATGACGAGGGTGATGATGACGATGATGACGTTGATGTTGATGTTGATGATGATGCTCTAAAGTAAAGGTGGTGGTGATGATGATGTTGATGATGCGGGTGATGCGGATGATGATTATTTTTCTGTTTTTTTTTCTCCTGCTGCTACTTCGGCTGCTGTCGTTGTCGTTGTAGCCGTGGTTGTTGATGTTGTTGCTCTAGGTTTCGAGTTGTTGACAATGATGCTGACGCGGACGATGCTGCTGCTGCTGCTGATGATGATGATGATGCTGATGATGATGATGATGATGATGATGATGATGATGATGATGATGTTGATGATGATGATGCTGGTGGTCATGATGATGGTGTTGATGTTGAATTTGATGTTGATGCTGCCGCCGAGGATGATGACGATGCTGTTTATGTTGCTGCTGCTGCTGCTGATAATGATGATGATGACGATGGTGATGATGCTGATGCTGCTGCTGATGATGATGACTAGCAAGCAGGAGGACAATGAGGGGGAGGATACAGAGGAGACGGATGTGGAGGATGATAAGGAGGGCAGCGGCATGCCGAGCACGAGCGTGACCAGCATTTTCAAAGAGAGGTCAGCAGTCGCAGACAGGACCACGAAAGAGAGTGATGCCTCACTCCTTCGCAGGGTACTGCTGCTGCTGCTGATGATGATGAAGGTGATGATGCTGCTGATGATGATGATGATGCTGATGATGATGATGATGATGGTGATGGTGATGATGATGACGATGACGACGATGCTGATGATGATGATGAAGATGATGATGATGCTGATGGTTGTGGTGATGATGATGACGATCATGAGGCTGACGAAGACGATGACGATGACGATGACGATACTGATGATGATGATGATGACGACGATGATGATGATGCTGGCTTTGGTGTCGATTGTGACGATACTGATGCTGACGATGATGATGATCATGATGATGATGATGATGATGAAGGTGATGATGATGATCATCATGGGGGTGATGAGGGTGATTATGGTGATGATGCTGATACAACGTTGATGTTGCTGATTGCTGAGGCTGATGATGAGATGATGATGGGGATGATGCTGATGACTTTTATGTTTCTTGCTGAGACGATGCGGTCGACGACGATGACGACGACGATGGTAAGTATGATGATGCTGATGATGATGCTGATAATGGTGGTGGTGGTGGTGATGGTGATGATGATGATGATGATGATGATGATGATGATGATGATGGTGAGGTCGATGATGATGTTGCTGCTGCTGATGATGGTGATGATGATGATGCTGATAATGATGATGCTGATGATGACGATGAGTATGCAGACGATGCTGCAGTTGATGATGACGATGCTGTTGATGATGCTGATGATTGTGATGAGACTGGGGCATCATATTCTGATATTAGGACTGATGTCGATGCCGTTCATGACGGTTAGGATCATGATGATGGTGACGATGCCAATACGTGTTAACTTGCTTCGCAAGGCGATGCTGTTTGTGACGATGCCGATGATGACGGTAACGGTGACGATGCTGACCAGGTTGATGTTGTTGTTGATGTTTGTGTTTGTGCTTGTGATGATGAGTATAAAAGGTTATGGTGATGATCTGATGATGGTGATGGTGGGGGTGGTGTTGATGCTGCTGATGGCGAGGTTTTGGTGGTGTGGTGATGGTGGTGGTGGACGAGGGATCAGCGGACGGGGAAGAAGAGGAGCAGGGGGAGGATGATGATGCTGATTTTCATGCTGCTTGCTGACACGATGCGGTTGGTGACGGTGATGATGATGGTGGTGATGGAGGTGATGATGGTACTACTAATGGTGATGATGATGATGACGACGGTTACCATGCTACGGTTGATCATGTTGATGCTAATGATGATGATGTCGGCGATGTTGCTGCTGCTCCTGATGATGATGATGCTGATGATGATTATGATGTGATGATGATGTTGATGTTGATGATGATGATGGTGATGATGACGATGATGATTATTATGATGCTGATGATGCTGATGCTGATGCTGGTGCTGCTGCTGATGATGATGGACCTGATGGACATGCGATGGATCTGATGTTATGATGCTGCTGATGCTGATGATGATGCTGCTGTTGATGCTTAGGATGCTGATGATGATAACACCGAAGATGAGGCGGAGGAAGAGGTAGTGATGATGGTGGTGGTGGTGGTGATGACGATGATTGTGATGGGGAGGAGCAGGAGGAGGAGGAGGAGGAGGAGGAGGAGGAGGAGGAAGAGGAGGAGGAGGAGGAGGAGGAGTAGAAGGAGGACTGGGAGGAGGAGGAGGAGGAGGAAGACGAGTACGAGGACGAGGA